ACGAGGTGCGGGGCCGGGCGATGCTCACGGGAGTGACACGTTTCCTTTGGGGCTCACTGAGTCACAGCTGAGTCACCACGGCTGCAGCTCCCCGTGCCCGTGCTGCCCCCAGAACCACGGCCCCCGGCGGGATGTGGGATCCCTGCCCTCTGTGCCCATGGCAGCCCTGCTCCCCTGCTGCCCTGGCCCTGCAAACCCGGCTCAGGAGGGATGGCAGAGGGGTGACACCGGTCACAGCTGAGCCCCCTCACCACGCAGCCCCTCCAGACTCTGGGGTTTGGGGTTATTTATCCTCTGGGGCAGAAAATTCTGCTGGGATGCACAATGCAGAACCCAAGGGGAAATCACCAGCAGGAGCGTTCCTGGCTCCGGGGGCACCGTGTGCCACCCTGACCCCGGAGCTGCCCATGCCAGCCTGTCCCAGCCGGGCTCTTTCCCTGCCCAGCAGCTCCCACGCTCTCCGGGCTGCCACCCCGTGGGGCCGCTGTGCCCGAGGATCGTTTTGCATGTGGGGACAACCGGCAGCAGAAGAATGAATTTGCATTTCTCAATGGCACCCAGTGTGGGAACCGAAGCCGCCGAGGGTTCCGCTGCCACTCGGGCCCGCAGCGGGGCTGTGTGAAAAGACAACATCCCGTGGGCTGGCACCGGGCCCGCCCGTCTCACCTGGCTGCCCGTGTGTGCCTGGGAACTGCGGCTGCCCAGCGGCCCCGGCACGGGCAGGGGGTGCTGAGCCCCCCGCCCCTGCCCCGTGTGCCTGTGCCATGAGCAGTGACAGTGACCAAATGGCTCCTGTGTGGGTTATTTTGGGGGGTGCTGAGCCCCCCGCCCCTGCCCCTGTGCCCCTGCCATGAGCAGTGACAGTGACCAAACGGCTCCTGTGTGGGTTATTTTTTATTTTGGGGGGCACTGAGCCCCCTGCCCCGTGTGCCTGTGCCATGAGCAGTGACAGTGACCAAATGGCTCCTGTGTGGGTTATTTTGGGGGGTGCTGAGCCCCCCGCCCTGTGTCCCTGCCATGAGCAGTGACAGGGACCAAACGGCCCCTGTGTGGGTTATTTTGGGGGGTGCTGGATGGGATTTAGGGTTCAGTGCTGATGCAGCAGCTGCGTGGAGAGCCCAGACCAGGATCCTTCCCCTCCTCTGCGCCCCAAATCTCCGGTGAGAGACCTTTCCTCACCCTGCAGCAGCGGGGTGTGCCCACAACGCCCTGAGCCCTCTCTTCCTGGCACCGCCGGGCGACCCGCAACCATTTCCAGGCTTTTAATCCCAAGAGACAAAAGCAGGAGTTTAATGCCACCGGAGGAAGAAAAGAGGAGGGCTTTGGGAAGGGAACAGCAAACACGGCGGTGGATCCGCTGCTCCCTGCCTGCCTGGGTGTCCCACGAGCTCCCCTGCGTCACCCGCGGTGGCACCGAACCCGGGGGTGCTGGGGGCACCCGGGCTGGGCGTGCTGGGGAGCTGGTGGTCCAGGGGCTGGGCTCACCCCGGTGTCTTCATCCTCCTCCCCCAGCTCGTCCTTCCCGGCTGCGCTCCCAGGCACGGCCAGGCTGCAGAAGCGGGGCCGTGTCACCTCCTGCCACCACGGGCGCAAAGCAGCCTTCGAAAGGTGCCAGGTGACCTCAGAGGGATGGCTCCTGGACCCCCGGAGCCATCAGCGTGGAGCAGACCCCCAGCTGCATGGAGCCGACCTCTCCAGTACCCCCTGTGCAGGCTGGGGGCTGCCCTGGGGCGCAGGTGACACGGGGACAACCGGGGGCCACCTCACACGGTGGGGATGGAGAGCGGGAGCTGGAGCAGGGATGGAGCCCCGGAGCAGGGATGTGGGAGCCCCGGAGCAGGGATGTGAGCCCCGGGACAGGGCTGGGAGCCCCGGGGCAGGGATGTGGGAGCCCCGGAGCAGGGATGGGAGCCCCGGGGCAGGGCTGGGAGCCCCGGGGCAGGGATGGAGCCCCGGAGCAGGGATGTGAGCCCCGGGACAGGGCTGGGAGCCCCGGGGCAGGGATGTGGGAGCCCCGGAGCAGGGATGGGAGCCCCGGGGCAGGGCTGGGAGCCCCGGGGCAGGGATGGAGCCCCGGAGCAGGGATGGAGCCCCGGAGCAGGGATGTGGGAGCCCCGGAGCAGGGATGGAGCCCCGGGGCAGGGATGGAGCCCCAGGGCAGGGCTGGGAGCCCCGGGGCAGGGCTGGGAGCCCCGGCTCGCTGTCAGGGTGGGCCCGGGCGGGTGCCGGGGCAATAACGCGGCTGTTTGCCCCGAGCACACACCGGCCCCGTAAACAGCGATTATGGCAGCAGCTGGGAGATGGGGGAGCAGGCAATAAAGAGAATAAAGAGGAGCGGCCCCGCTCGCCCTGGGCTGCACGGGAAGTGGGAAGGTCTGGCTGGGATAAGGAGGAGTCAGAGGGGTTGCGGTGGTCTGGACTCTGGGGGCTCTCCCAGGTAAATTTTGATGATGCACGGGGACATTGCCCCGTCAAAAGCACCTTTCCCTCCGTGCACACCTGTGGCTCCCTGCACTTGTGCTCCCCGACCCTCTGTATAAATTTGGGCTCTGCTGGAGAGACCTTCTCCCCTCCCAGAGCCCCTCCAAGGTGTGGGGAGAATGCATTAAAGGTTCTTCAGCCATTTCGACCATTTCCAGTTTCCTTGGGAAGCCTCAGAGCACCCATCCTGCAGCCTGGGACTGGGAATTCATCCTGTCCCATCCTCACCCCATGGCACAGACATGGTGTGCAGCATGTGGCCTCTCAGAGGGTCTCTAGCTCTACTCTGGGGCCACCACTGTCCCCAAAGCTGTGCAGGAGCTGGAGCAGAGGAGCCCCGCCACTGCAGGGGACCAGGAAACAGCTGCGTGTGGGACAGGTCGGGCTCCCTGCTCTCCGTGGTTTGTACAGTGACATCAAGGGCCTTCAATGGTTTTATTATATGTGACATGGCTGCTTATCTATTATTCTTGTGATGCAGCCAGAGATTAGCTACAGGCAGGTGGGCAGGGATTCCTCCAGGCTGATTCATGGGTTGTTTCTCCATCTCTCCCCTCTGCTCGGCCGCGTTCCCAAGCGTTGAAGTTCCAGCAGTGGCAAAAGGCACCGGAATCGGAGCTGATGGCTTGACAGGGAGGACAAGGAAAAAGTACCGAAAACTGCGCACACAGGGCAGAAAAGCCAGACTTCGTTTCCCTCTTTTGTTGTCCCTCAGGTGTTGCAATCTCTCCTTTTCCTGGTTTGCATGTGCAAGCAGAGCTGCGATTGCGAAAGGCGTCGGGACAGCCGGGCACAGCTGGAGCCGTGGAAACTGGTGACACTGGGTGGCTCCAGCCCCTGAGCCCTCTGGGAAGGAAGCAGAGGTCTCATTTTTGGGCCTTTCACCCAGTTTTGCAGCGCTGTGCTGCACTGCCCAGCTCTCTCTGAGCCCAGAAAAGCAAATGTTTTTCCCTTTAATCTCCTTCTGTTATCGAGATCCCACTGCTGCCGATAAGAGAAGTAGGAAAAGCTCTTTCAGACTGAGGTGTGAGTTTGACAACAGGTCTCAGACAGCCCAGGATGACCCGGGTCTGGGATGCTCTGGGTCTGGGAACTCCCCACTGCTTGGTGACATCTGACACTGTCCAGTGTCCCCAGTTGTGCTCTCTTCCGCTTTTCTTCCGACTCCTTCTGGTGCTCTGGCCTGGTGTTTGCTCTGGCGAAAAGTTGTAAAGAAGCCAAATAAACACAAAGAATGACCTGGCGGTGGTGTCCCAGCAGATGCAGCTTGCACAGCCTGTGCAGCCCAAACCCTGCTCCCCAGACACCCCCAGGCACAGCCGGTGTGGGGCAGGAAGGGCAGGGCGGGATGGCCGCGGTGCTTTCCCAGCACGGCTGGTGCCGGGCTGCTGTCGGGTTTACACGTGACTCCACTCTGTACCTGCAGTTTCCACACCGAGACACTCGTGTTTCTGTGCTGTGGGAAGGGATCCGTGCTTGCAGGGCTGTGCTGGGATGTTCCTGCTCTGGGTGCCCTCGGGGCATCCTGAGGTGTGACACTTTGGGGCCCTATCCAAAGCAGTGGATGCTCTGAGCGGCCTGGGGAGCTCTGCTGTGGCTGCCAGGAGCACTGGGAGGGCACTGGGGGGCCTGGACCCCCCTCCTGGCTGTGCCACATCCCAGTCAAACATGCCCAACCCCTGGCAAAGCCCAGGCAGGGGCTGGCAGCTTCCCAGCTCGGCTGCTTGTCCCGGGGTCCCCCCATAGCACTTCCACGTGTCCCAGGCCCAGTCGTGTTTACCAAAACAGGGGAAAAGGGCTCCCCTGGGGCACGGCAGCCCTGATCCAGGGGGAGCTTTCCCCACGATAAGATAACATTGAGGTGTTTCAAAGGAGGCAGAAACTCCTGGCGCTGCCGATAGCACCGGGGTCTCCTTCCTGCAGGGCTTTCGTTTCCCCGGGGCAAACATTCCCATGGATGGCTTATCACCCGTGCCTGCCCCGGCTCGGGGTCCCAGCTCTGTCCCCGTGTGTGGGCTGGGGACCTGGGGACGTGCCGTGGTGACGTGGGGCCAGCCTGTGGCTGCTTGCAGCGGGGTTTGCTCTGACGTGGGGTTTTGGGGCACGGGGGAGTTTGGTTTTGGCAGCGCTACGTGCGCGGGAGAACTGCCTGGACTGCCCTGCCTGCTTCGTGTGCTAAAAAAAAGACAATAAATACCAGCTCGGTGTCTGTCTCGCTCAGAACTGCTTTTTCCTGCTCGTGCTGGTGCAGACAACCTGGGCCTGGAGGGCAGCACGTTCTGGCTGTGCCCCCGTGCCCCACAGACCCTCAGGCTGTGTCCCTGAGCTGGGGGGGTTTGGGTGCTGCCGGGGGCTCCCTTCACCCCCAGGGTCTCTGTGCACCCTCACAGGCTCCATCCCTGGCTGCAGCGCTTGGGCAGGGCGTGGGTCTGGGCTTTGGGTCAGGGATGCTCCTGGGTACCAGTCAGGGATGCTCCCGGGGTGTCCCTCAGGGATGCTCCTGGCCCCAGGCTGCTCTGGGAGTGATGCCATGGACCTCACACGTCTGACAGGCCTCTGACTCCAGACTGACAGGTGTCTGTCTGTCCCTGTCCCTGTGAGGGTGGGAAGGGGTTAACGGTGCCAGGGTTTGCCCCACTCCCCTCCCAAGGCCCGTTCTGCCCCGAGCCTGCCCTGGACGCACCTGCCAAGGGTTAACCCGGCCCGGGCTGTTCAAACACCTCGGCTGAGGTAAGCGCTGCTTGTTTGTTCAGGTAAATAAGGAAGGAATCGGATATAATGGGCAAAGGAGGCTCCGGCTGAGCCCTGACACTCACTGCCCGAGTCCCCCGCGCTGCCTTCGTCCCTCTGCTGCGCCCGGAGCCACTCGGGGTGCCCCGTTCCCCTCGCTGTCCCCTCCCCGCCGCTGCCCACCGGCCCGATGGGGCTGAGCCGGCGCTGAGCCGGGGCTGGGACAGCTCACCTGGGGCCGGGACAGCTCACCTGGGGCTGGGACAGCTCACCTGGGGCCATGTCCCCCGCAGACACCGCTCCCAGTGCCACGGGGATGGCTCTTCCCAGCCTGCGCTGGCACCCATGTGGATTCTGAGCTGGCACAGCCTCGAGGTAAGGCACCCGCGCTGCCGCGACCCCCAGCACCCACCCAGCCCACCTCCCTCCCTCCAGGGCTCTCGGGCTGGGCACGGGGCTGTCCCGTGTCAGAATCCCACCCCACAGCTCCTTGCACCTCCTGAGCAGGGTCAGGCTGTCCCCCGGCGTTTCTCTGCATGCTGTCACTGAAAACAAAACGGGATTTGCTGTTCTTGTGTCTCTGCTCAAGCAAGAGCGGTGGGATGGAGCCAGGACTCCTGGGGCCGGCTCCTCCCGAGCCCACCTGGTGACAGCTGGGACACCCAGGGTGCCACCAGCCCGTGTGCCAGGCAGGGGACAGTGAGCTTTGGGGCACCGTGTGGCAAACCAGCAGCTGGGACCCTTTCTGGAGCCCCCGGGGTGGCTGTTGGGGAGCTGCCAGCTGCGGGGTGTCTCTGTGAAGCTGAGCCCCTTTTCCAGAGCTGCACTGTCCCAGCTGCTTTCCTGCTGGGGTGGTTTTTTGGTTTTTTGTCAGCCCTGCAGTCACTTTGGCTGCGGGTTTGGTTTTCGTGGTTCTGCTCGGTTAGTGAAACACAAACACCGTGAGGGTGCCAAATCCCCACAATAGCGGTGCTCTCCGGGGCTGGGAGCACGGGGGGGAAGGTGCTGCTATAAATAGGGGCTCCCTGGCCCCAGGTGGGGAACAGCAAGCTCTGCTGCTCTCCGGGGGCACAGCGGGCGCCAGGCTTTGCTCAGGTCACTGGCTGCCTGTGCCCCGTGGCTGCTGTTTGCCTCCCTGCGCTGATGGAGAGGGCAGCCTGACCCAGGCCGTGGGGACCCTGGGGACACCTGCTCCTGTGCCAGCAGCCATGCAGGTAACGGCAGGAGGAGCCAGGGCACCTCGGTGGTGTTGGAGGAGGAGCTGGTGGGGAGCTGAGGGCCCAGATCCCCCCAGGATGGGCTGCATCCCCCTGGGGGTACATCAGAGTGAGCCTGGGGCCTGTCCTGGCCCCAACCCTGTCACCATGCAGGCTCCAGAACCAGCCCCTGCTCTGTCACCTCCCCAGCCCCTGCTCTGTCCCCTCCCCAGCCCCTGCTCTGTCCCCTCCCCAGCCCCTGCTCTGTCCCCTCCCCAGCCCCTGCTCTGTCCCCTCCCCAGCCCCTGCTCTGTCCCCTCCCCAGCCCCTGCTCTGTCCCCTCCCCAGCCCCTGCTCTGTCCCCTCCCCAGCCCCTGCTCTGTCCCCTCCCCAGCCCCTGCTCTGTCCCCTCCCCAGCCCCTGCTCTGTCCCCTCCCCAGCCCCTGCTCTGTCCCCTCCCCAGCCCCTGCCCTGCTGTGGGGAGGTTCTGGCCACTGCTCCTTCCTCCACCCAGAGATAAGAAGGGTGCGTGGCACAGGGTTTGGCAGCAGGACGTGGCACAGCTGTCACTCTGGGGCTTGCATGGGACGTGCTGGCAGGATCTCAGGTTGCCAGCAGCCTCTGAGCACCCACCTGGTGCTGGCTTTGCAGGGACCCCAGGGCTCTGTCCCTGCTGGATCCGGGCAGTCTGGGGCAGCTCTGGGTCCCGCACACCCCCAGCTCCTCCTGGCACGGCACAGCACAGCCTGGGGCTGGAGGTGACCCCGGAGCCTGGCCCTGCTCCCTGTCCCCGCTGCTGGGAAGAGTTTTCGGAAGTGCCCGGGGGTTTGGGAGCCATCCCGGGCTCCCGGCGGGGCCAGCTCCCGGTCCCACGGCGCTCCGGCACAACCTGTTCCACCGCTGATTGGATTTTAATTAACGGACCCATTGTTCCAGGGTGGGGGGCGGGGGAATTTCTTTTTTTTTTTTTTTTTTTTTTTTTTTTTTTTTTTTTTTTTTTCCTCACTCTCAAGGGCCCATCCCAGCGTTCCACCCTGAGCCACGGTGGGCTGCCCTTGCCAGGAGAGCCCGGGGTGGCACGGGGGTCCTTGTCCCCATCGTTGTCCCCCTCGGCTGGGCCCGTGGGGCTGAGCCGTGAGCCAGCAGCACCCAGAGCCCCGGGCTGGTGCTGGCTGCGTGCCCTGGGAGGTGCAGGAGCCCCATCCCAGCCCCACAGCCCCATCCCAGCCCCGTGCTGCCAGGAGCTGCCAAGGCTGATGCAATGAGCGGCTCAGCCGCGCTCAGCCCGGGCAGGGAACGGGAAGGGTTTTGGGAGCCGTGTGGGCCCGTGCACCTGGGGCTGCCCCTGCAGCTCCCCTTTCCCAGGGAAATGCAAAAAGGGGTAGGGGAAGAGGGGGAAAAGGCCACCTGAAGTGGTTTCTCAGCGCAAACAGGTCCCACCCAGCCCGGCCGCCCGCGTGCCGCAGCGGGAGAAAGTCAAACAGCAGCCCCCGCCCTGAGAGTACAGCGCCTTGGTGGGGCACACTCTGCCTTTTGGGGACACTTCCCGAGGGATTGGGTCCCTCTGGTCCCAGCTGGGAGGAGGGTGAAGATGGGGCTGGGGCTGTCCATCCTGTGGCGTTCCCAGGGATGGTTCCACAGCCCTGCTCCCCCACGGGTGAGGATGAACCCCAGAACATCCCAGAGGTGTTGGGAATGAGGCACCCGTCCCCTCCCAGACACCCCAGAGCCAGCACTGTGCAGCAGCAGGAGCTGCACAAGCTGTTACCACTTCCCTTTTGTGCTGGGAGCAGCGTGAGGCTGGATTTAGGGCTGATCCCCTAAAGCTCTTCTTTTAATCCCAAACAAATCAAGGAGAGGTTTGGGAGCGGGCACCATCTCTCAGGGAAACTCTTTGGATGGTGGGGGCAGCCCCAGACCAGGAGAGGGTTTGGGTTCTCTCTTCTCCCTCCCCCTCCTTGCTGTGGTGCCACCAAAACCACTCAGGGTCGTGGCTGAGCTCCTGAAGCCACAGTCCCTCCCCAGGTCCCCAGGGGCTCAGGCTGCCGTGGGTGCTCTTTGGGCGCCCCTGGCTCTTCCATGAGTTTTTCTGAGCTCCAAGGATGAAGTGATGAGCTTGCCCCAAGTGCAGGCAATGCAGAAATTCAAACCCCACATTCCTGGGAGCACTGAATCCTCAGGAGCCACATTAACCCCCCCTGAGCAAGGGGCACAGGGCTGGGTCCCCACTGTCCCTCCTTCACTGACCACCCCCGTGCTTGGGGGCTGTGCTCTGCCTGGAGGAACCCTGTGGGATCTTTTCCTCTCATTTCTTTTAAACCTTTCCCCCCCAGCTGGGGTTTGGAGCATCAGGGCACCCCCTTTCCCTGGCCACTGCTCCCTGCTCCCCTCCAGGGCTGCCTGGTGTCCTGAGGGGTTTCAAACTTTGCACGTTCCTTTCCCAGTGCCAGCTCAATTCCTAAAGTTCCTTTTCCTGCTTTTAAACCCCCAGTTTGGGATGATTCTTCTCCTTGTAAAACGCAGTGCTGAAGGTGGAGGAGCTGGGCAGCGCCCTGGCCATGCCCCGGCAGGGGCTTCCCCTTCCCAAAGTCTCAGGATGGATTTTGGGGAGGTTTCTCCACGGATGGAGCCGTTCCCTGGTGTTGCCATGGAAATTCAGCAGGCTCATCCCCTTCTCCGTGGCCTCCAGGACTCCCTGCATGCAGACACAGAGGGGGACAGGCTGATTTGGGGTAGTTTTTCTTGCAAGAGAGTGAAAGTAATTGCAACTATCCTGTCCTAGAAGGGAAGTTCTCATCTGGAGGTTGGCAGCAGTGACCAAGGGCCCTGGGTCCCTCCCGGGGATCTGGGTCTGGGGGCTGCTGTGCCTCAGGTGGAAGCGGCAGAGGATGTTTTCCCTGCTCAGAAACGTGTCCCTGCAGCTCAAGCATCCACTGTCACCCCAGGGCTGTGCTGTGCAGCCCCCCCAGTGTCCCCCACTGCCTCCCACCGAGGCCTCAGCTCCACCTGGGACTGAGCTGCTGCCAGCCTGGGGTGCAGCCCCTGGGGAGACCCTGAACCCCCAGACCCTAAACAGCTCCTGCTCACCTCCTGAGCTCCTTCTCCCTGCTGGCTGCTGCTCTTGGTGCTCCCGAACTGGGGACAGCCCCCCAGCCGTGGCTGACCCCGCACTCACCCGCAGGCTGGCGGGGCACAGTGGGGCTCTTGGAAGGGTTTTTCCCCTCTAACAGGCTTAATTCCTCCCTTTGTGCCTGGCTGCCGGGCTGAACTCTGCTCCTCTCTCGTCCCCGGGCAGGTTTGGAGCCGGCTCTGAGCAGAGGGATGGGCAGTGCCAGCCCCGGGCTCACTCTGCCCCTCCCTCCATCCCGGGCAGGTTTGGAGCCGGCTCTGAGCAGAGGGATGGGCAGTGCCAGCCCCGGGCTCACTCTGCCCCTCTCTCCATCCCGGGCAGGTTTGGAGCGGGCTCTGAGCAGAGGGATGGGCAGTGCCAGCCCCGGGCTCACCGCGCTGCCCCCCGGCCGCCTCGCCTGGCCGGACCCCGCGCTGCTGCCGCCCCCGCGGGACCCCGACCCCCGGAGCTGGGGCTGCCCGGAGAGCCCCAGCCCGCCCGGCACCCCCGAGCAGCCCCTGCCAGCCTTCTGCCTGCACTACTTCGACATGCTCTACCCCGAGGACACGGCCTGGGCCGCCAAGGGCAGCGGGGAGGCGGCGCAGGGCAGCGGGCAGGGCGGCCGGGAGGCGCGGAAGGAGCCGGAGCAGTGTCCCATCATCGACAGCCAGGGCCTGGGGCTGGGGCCCGAGGGCGACCTGCAGGACAGCCTGCACCTGGAGGAGCACTCGCTGGAGCAGGTGCAGAGCATGGTGGTGGGCGAGGTGCTGAAGGACATCGAGACCGCCTGCAAGCTGCTCAACATCGCCGCCGGTGGGTGCCCCCAGGGCGGGGATGGAGGTGCTGGCGTGGGAGCCAAAGCCACGCTGCATTTGGGGGGCTGCAGCCACGTGTGGGGGTCTGGGGGAGTGTGGCTGCTCCCCACGGAATGAGGGGATGGTTCTGGGGGGCTGCAGCCGTGTGAGGGGGTCTGGGAGAGTGTGGCTGCTCCATATGGGAGGAGGGGATGGTTCTGGGGGGCTGCAGCCACGTGTGGGGGTCTGGGGGAGTGTGGCTGCTCCCCACGGGAGGAGGGGATGGTTCTGGGGGGCTGCAGGAGGGGACGGCTCCTGGCTACGTGTGGGGGTCTGGGGGAGTGTGGCTGCTCCCCACGGGAGGAGGGGATGGTTCTGGGGGGCTCCTGGCCGGCCACACTGACCCCCCTCCGCCCCAGACCCCATGGACTGGAGCCCCGGGAACGTGCAGAAGTGGATCCTGTGGACGGAGCACCAGTACCGGCTGCCGCAGATCGGGAAATCCTTCCAGGAGCTGTCGGGGAAGGACCTGTGTGCCATGTCCGAGGAGCAGTTCTGCCAGCGCTCGCCCGCCTGCGGCGACATCCTGCACGCCCACCTGGACATCTGGAAGTCTGGTGGGTGCCGGGAGGGAGCTGGGGAGGGTGGGCGAGGCTGTGCCGCAGGAGGTGCCCCCCTGATGCCCCGCTCCTCCCTTCCAGCCGCCTGGATGAAGGAGAAGGCTGCCCCGGGAGATGTCAGATACTGCGGTGAGTTCTGCGTGGGCTCAGCTCTGCTGTCCCCCCTCCTGCTTCGGGCTTGAGGGGTCCCCCGGTGCTTAATTGCCATTACCCGGAGCACCGGAGCCCTGCTGCTGTGGGATCTGCGCGGCTGCGCTCCCTCTGCCCCAGAGCAGCCCCGCAGCTCTCTGCAGCATCCAGGGAAGGGGGAATGGCTCGAAGCCCTCACCGGGCCTGTGCCGCACCCCGGCACCCCTGCGGGCTGGGCGAGGGCAGCACTGAGCCGCTCTCCCTGCTCCAAGACAGGCAGGGGAAAGCAAATCTTCCCGGCTGAGCCCGGGGATCCCCTGAGCGGGGCTCCCTGAGGGGGCTCCAGGCGCTCCCTGGGGCGGGGCACAGCAGGATGCAGAGCACGGCGGTGGGCATCCTCCCTGTCCCTTCCCTCCTCTCACCCGTCCCTTCCGCCGCAGGAGGTGACAGCAGCTGGGCCGACAGCGAGGTGGACTCGTCCTGCGCCGGCCAGCCCATCCACCTCTGGCAGTTCCTCAAGGAGCTGCTGCTGAAGCCGCACAACTACGGCCGCTTCATCCGCTGGCTCAACAAGGACAAAGGTGGGGGGCACGCTCCGGAGCCCCGGGGCGGGCGCTGGGGGGCTGCGGGGGGGCAGGAGATGCTGTAACCCTCCGTGCCCCGCTCCCCTGGCAGGCATCTTCAAGATCGAGGACTCGGCGCAGGTGGCGCGGCTGTGGGGCATCCGCAAGAACCGCCCGGCCATGAACTACGACAAGCTGAGCCGCTCCATCCGCCAGTACTACAAGAAAGGAATCATCCGCAAGCCCGACATCTCCCAGCGCCTCGTCTACCAGTTCGTCCACCCGGTGTGAGCGGCGGCGGCAGCGGCGGAGCGCCGGGAGGGACGGGGGAGCTCGGCTGCCTCCTCTGCCCGGCCGCAGAGAGCCTCTGCCAGCAGCAAGGACCTGGGCTGAGGGCGAGCTTCCCCTGCCAGGACCTGCTGGCACCGGACACAGGGACCCCTCCCCTCCAGCAGGCCCTGCTGCGGGGCAAGGACCGTGCAGAGGGAAGGGTGGGCACCGTGCCTGGGCTTGTGCCCCCTCCTCTCCTCCCTCCCGAGTTCTGGCTGTAGGTGGCTTCACCCAGCCTTTGTTCAGGGAGGAAAAAGCCTGGGCATGAGCTGAGACGATGGGACATCCACAGGGACAACCAGAGGGACAGGGACACCCAGAGGGACAGGGACATCCACTGCTGCTCGTGGTGGGGCTCTGTCCCAATCCCTGTGGGAGCAGCCTGGCACCAGCCAAGGGCACTGCCTGCCATGGGGGCTGTGCCAGGTGCCCCCTTGGGCCAGGTGCATCCTCCCTTTGTTTTTCACTCCAGGACACGCTCAGCTGCTCCCCTTCACAGGGATTTGGGGCTGCAAATGGCAGCTCTGTATCCATGGCCCCATCTTTGTGCACGGGGCCACCAGAGTGCTCCTAACCCAGGTTCTGTGCCCTGGCACAAAGCTCTTCCCTTGATGCGGATTTTACTTGGACTGCCTGATTCTGGAGTTTGGGGAAATGGAGATGGCAGCTCTGCCATTTCCTTCTGGACAATAAATCCAGAGTGTGATCAGCCAAGGCTGGACTGGGGCAGGGAGCTGGGCATTGCTTCACCTGCTCACTGCACCTGAGTTACCTGGCAATGTTGGTCTTTTATATTATAGGGATTTTTTATTTGGTTATTTGCTTTTTGGTTTTGGCTGGTGATGAGTTGTGGTTTAGGTTCAAATGCCAAGGGGTGGCCTGGGCTTCCAGGGACGTTCTATGGGAGCTTAAAAGGAAAAAACACCTGGTTCTTGGACTCTTGATGTTTTTCCTTAAAATTTCCACCAGTGCCAACTACTGCCTTTCCTTTCTGTTCTTGCTCCGTGCTGCTCCCATCCTGGCAGGAGGATGGAGGGCAGTGAGGAGCAGGGGAGGGAGGAAAACTGCCTTGGCCTTTGGAAAAGGGACTGGAAATGCAAAAAAAAAAAATGGTGGGAAAGAAAAAAAAAAAGCAAAGTGTGTCTTTGATTTGCTGTGTGTGCCTGACTCAGCCGGTGCGGGGGCCGGGGGTGCCCCAGATCCTGTGTCCCCCTCACAGCTCCCCTGGCAGGGTGGGGAGGGCAGGAGGTGACATCAACCTGCCTTGACAGGCTCAGGAGGGCGCGGGGTCAGGGCTGGTGCTTGGAACAGCCCCAAACCTGCATCCCCTCGAGCCCTGCCGTGGGTGTCCCAAGGCTTTGTCCAGCAGTGCCACAGGAGTCCCCAAGGGCAGTGGCTGCTCCCCTTGTCCCCCCAGCAGTGCATCCCAGCCCCCCATCCTGCTGCACCCCTAAACCTTGGGCTGGAATGTCACTACCTGGGGGTCCACAACCACCCCAGCCACCCCCGGGGTGGGACAGACGCACAGCAAAGGAGACCCCAGAGCCAAGGACGCTGACAGAGCTCGGTTATTTTCTCTTGCTGCTTTTTGTTGTTGTATCCACGGAAATACAATCACGAGAGATATATATATTATATATATACTTCTTAAATTACACAATCAATGTACAAAAACCGGGGTGCATTGCTGAGACAGGTGGTTGGTTGGGTCTTTTCTGACTTTGTGGTTTTTTTTCCGGTACCTGGCAGGGGCTGGAGGGCTCCTGCCCACCGTGCCCAGCACACGGTGCTTCCCCTGCATCCACGAGAACACGGGATCCCTGGGGCCAAACAATTCACAAACCAACGGAGGGGGCAGGAAAGGAGCAGGAGGAGCGTGCGGGAAGCCGATGGCAATGATGCTGCTAAGGGCGATGGTATGGAGAGAAATGAGAGATGATCTGTAGGGAGGAGCTCAGGATGGCAAACGCACCCGAGGCAGGGGTGGGGTGGCCGTGCTGGGTGGCAGCAGCCGCGGGGCCGGGGGCAGAGCCCGGGGCAGGAGGGGGAGAGCTCCGTGGGGACAAGCAAAGGGCAGAGCCTGCGGCCATTCCCCCGCCTTGGTGTCTTGGTTCTTCGCCAGGCAGCTGCTCTGCCTGGGCTGCATCCTGAGCCCTCCTCCGGGGCTCTCCAGGATGCTCATCCCCCGTCCCTGCTCTGCTCCTGCCTCTCTTCAGGATGGGGACTGTCCCCAGCAGTGCCCAAGGCAGTCCTCGCTACCCCAGGCTGGGTATCGAGGTGCTTCCAGCAGCAGCGGGCCCTGGTGGGTCCCTCTCCGGACAGCGCTGGGTTTTAGGGCCGTCTCACCTGGATCTGGTGTGCGTTGGATGCCCGCCCACCGAAGGGCGATGCTGCTCCCTGCAGCACAGACCGGGAATCGGCTCGGGAGCCTCCGCCCGCTCCAGCTGTGCTGCCAGCCCAGCCCCGAGGAGGAGGAGGAGGAGGAGGAAGCTGAGGAGATGCCAGCAAGCTCCATGGCGGGGCTGGTCCCACCTCACCTGGGCAACCCAAGGACGGCCGCGGGGCTGAAGGGGGCACTCACCCCCTTCCTCGGGGCGGGAGGATGAACTGGGGAGAGCATGGAAACACCAAAAAAAAATAACCAACGGAGTCAGACTCCAATCCCTCTTGGTTTTCTGGGATGAATTTGGTTGGTCCCAGGAGCTTCGGCGCCGTGCGTTTCAGAACAGTTCCAGCCAATCAGAAGGCGGCTCATGATTTCAGTATCTTTAAAAACCAACCAGTCAGGAGCTCTCACTGGTTGGGCTTTAAGATCTTGAGGTATCGGCTTTTCGCTCAGAAAAAAAAAAAAAAAAATTCAACTAACGTAGACGAACGGACAACGTCATCTTCCGCTTCACGTTATCTTAGAAGAAAGCGACTATGCAAAATACTCTTCGGAGACAACTCTTAAAAAAATAAAAGCTTGGTCGGAAAATATGTCTGAATCTCTAAGGGTGAGGAGTGAAGGACCAGACGGCAGAATGGCTGGTTGGCTGGTGGAGAGATGGAGACAACGGAGGGTGGATTTATCTGCTGACGGTGACGAGGAGCACACCACAAGACTTAGATTGCCTCCACGTAGTTGGCGGGGTACAGCCCCAGCTGCCCGTTGTCCAAGCGCCCTTTGCACCACCCCTGCTCGTCTTCCTCTCCGAGTTTGGTTAGTTCATCACCTGGAGAGGAAGGTGGAAGGGAACAGCTCATTGCAGGTGCTGGAAATTCTCCCACCCCTTTTGCTCCCTGGGATGGAGCTGCTGGGGGTTTGTAGGATAGAAAGGCAAGGGGTGACTCATGAGCCCTGTCCCTTCCCATTGCTCCTGTCCCTTCCGCCTTAGGGCTCAGCTTCTGCCTTCCCCTTTCTGACAGTTGAACTCTTTGAAGGGCTGGGCCAACTCAGAAATCACTTGAGGGATTTCACAGCTCCAGCAGACGAGCCCCATCCTACCTGGCACCGGCAAGCACCGTACCTGCTTTGAAGCTGAGCTCGTCCTGCTCCTGCCCGTCGTAGTCGTACAGAGCCCGCACCCTCACGCCCTTCCCCGCCGACTCCTCGTCGAAGGGGTTGGCGCCGCCGTTGGCCTCGCTGGTGTTGAAGGAGTTGCTGCCCTCGTCATCGGACCACTCGGCGCTGTAGGTCTGCCCGCGGTCGTGGCTGCTCACGCTGCGAGGGGAGGACAGGGAGGGGTGGCTGTCACCGAGGACATCCCGCGTCCCCAAATGCTTGCACGGGCACAGCTTGTGCCTCTCATGGCACCTCCCCTTCGTGCCGGCCCTCACCTCCCGCGCTCGCCCGCCTGAGCCCCCGTGTCGCCCGCGCTGCTGGCGTTGGTCATGGCCACCCCCTCGCCCTTCTTCTGCTTCTCCTTCCGCGTTATCGTGTGCGTCAGGTCCGGGTTCCACTCCTGCAAGCACAGAGTGACCAACCCCTGAGCGCCCGGCTGCCCTGCAGGGCTGCCAGCACGCAGCCAGGGCGCCCAGCCTCACCTCAAACTGGGGCCAGTTCATGGGCATCCCGGGGCCGCTGGTGCTGCGGAACCACCGGAGGTCCTCCTGCGCGTCCGACATGCGGATGGTCTGCTCCAGCTCCCGGTACACGTTGGCGTAGCTGTGAGGAGAGACGTGTTTGGGGGGCTGTGGGTCAGGGTGGAGCCCTGGGGACAGCGTGGGACAGGGACATGGCCAGGCTGTCACCTGGGGACAGGCTGTGTGTCCTCCAAGCCACCGGGGGGCGCTAGGCTCCCGCACGGCCTCCTGCCGCTCTGGTACCTCTTGGTGACCATGGTGTTGGCCAGGATTCACCGCCCCTACCTGCTGCTCTCGGCCAGGTTCAGGTGCCTCTTGATGTCCAGGAGCATCTCCTTGAGGAAGTTGAGCCTCTTCTCCTCGAACTGCTGGCACTGCTCGAAGACCTGCTCCATGCTCTCGATGTACTGCGGGGTGCACTTGTTCAGCTCGTCCAGCACCTTCTCGTACTTCTCCTGAGTCTGCAAAAACACAGGAGGGACCCTGGTAGTACCTCGAGCACCTCAGAGGCCGTTTCTGCCTGGTTTGGGGGTCACCAGAGCTTTGGGGAGCCCAGATTCAGCCAGGAGCCTCAGTGGGTGGAATCAGCCCCCATAAGTGGGGCAAATCCCTGCCCAGCTCACACTCCCCTGAGCACTGCCTGCAAGTCCTCATCCTCCAGGGGCACAGGGATGGGAAAATGGGAACTGATGTTAGAGAAAGGGATGCGGTGGCCATCTCCTCTGGTTTCCCTTGCCCAATGCCCCATGCGTCCGGCACAGGACAGTGCTTCACACCTTTTGCACGTCTTGCTTGCACTTTTCCACTTTGTCCTGGAGCTTCTTCTGCTGCTCAGGAGTGTTGGACTGATCTGCCTTGCTGTTGGCTTCACGGGTCATGGCCAGCTTCTCCTCCTTGCATGCCAGGTGATAGGCTTTCTTGGCTGTCTCCAGCTGTAGGGAGGACAGGGAAGGGACATCAGAGTAGCAGTCACAGTCCCCTGCCAACCCTCTGCCTGTGGGGAGGCTCTCCCAGCCTGGACTGGGCACACAGGGTTGGACCTGGGGACACAGGGTATCCCCAGGACACTCCGTGCTTGTCTCACCTCCTTGAGCTTCTTGGCCCAGGGCTTCTGGGCTTTCCGGAAGCCATCCTCAGCCTCCTTGGCCTCCTTGAAGCCCCCCATGATCTGCTTGTGGTAGGCGTCCTTCTGCCAGTTCTTGACCTTCTCGAAGTCGTCGTTCAGGAGGCTGTTCTTCACCTCCTGGTGCAGCTCGCTCACCTTGTCGGCCTCGGTCATGATGGCGGCCCACGCCTTCTCCAGGCTGCCATACTGGGGACCTGGGGGCCGAGGGGACAGCTGGGGTCACCCCACTGCCCTCGCCCCCTCCCTTTCTGCCGGGTGAAGCTGTGCTAGGTGTCCTCCCGTGGGGAAGCCACGGTACCTTTCTCGATGAGCTGCCTCCACCGCTTGGACCAGTCGGTGAGCTGCTGGGCGTAGGACTTCTCGATCTTGGCCCGCTCGTGCACACAGTTCATGAGGTCGTTGCAGAGCCGGTGTCCATCATCGATCCGCTTCACCGTGCGCTTGTAGTTCCCCACCTGGGATGGGCACGGGCACAGGCAGCTGAGGGGGCTGTGACCATCCCTGCTCAGCCCCAGCTGCCCTGGGGTGGCTACGGGGGAAGCACCAGGCACTTTGGGGGTGCAGGGATGGAGCTTTGGGTTGGGGCTGCTCAAGCCCAGCTCCCTCCAACACCTCTGTCACCCAGCCAAGACTGAGACCTTGGGCAGAGCCACCACAGCAGGGATGCTCTCAGGCAGAGGAGGGAGGGCAGCCCCCAGCCCAGGGGACACCCTGAGGTGCAGTGACAGTGGCAGTGGGGTCTGTGGGAGGAGAGAGGATCAGGACTCACCTCCCAGAAGCTGTCGGTTGTCTCCTCGGCGGCCGATGCCGACTCGTCATAGGAACCCGACATGGCTCCCGGAGCTGCCTCGGGTTTCCCGGGTAAACACCAGCCTCATGCACTGAGGGGACAGGAGAGGGGAGTCACAGGGGGTGCAGGGGACCCCCATTCCTCCTGCCAACAGCTCTGTGGGACAAGTGTCCCAATACAGGGGACAGGCACGGGGACAGTGCCCTCTCCAGCTCTGGACCCGCAGACTCCTCCAGTGCCCACCACCCACTGGGTGCTGTCCAGCACCCCCGGAGCCAGCAGTGCTGGGAGGGAGCCATGGGGAGCAGCACGGTGGGAGCTCACTGGGCAGAGCCTGGCTCAGCACTGGGAGCCGCTGGGCGAGGGGCCGTGGCAGGGTCAGGGGATGCGCCGCCCGAGAAATTCTCGTCCTGATATTCCACCCTAATCCGTCCTGATCTTCAGAAAAA